TGTCATTTGAAATCTCACCCCAGCTGGCCCCTTTGTTGGCAGTCTCAGCAGAGAGGTCAAGGGTCAAGTCTGAACTGCCCTCCCCCACAAAAGGTGTCCCAGGAGGGTGAGGTGTGTCAGCAGTGAGCAGCGTGTAGGTGGGAGTCAGACTGTGCTGGGGTAGATCGAGGCCCTTGCGATGCAGTCACGCCAGGCTGGCAGCACTGCACCACGCCAGGAGCTGCTCATTTGCTCCAGCCTCCTGGCTGGCTGGAGGCAGCAGAAAGGTTTAGAAGCTGTCACTCTCATCTGTCAGATTCATCTGTATCTTGCGTCCATCAGTGGGTATTCAGTGGTTTTGGGGAATTGTACTTTAGTGCTGTTATTGTGAAATTGCAGGCTGAGCCAGGGGTGGTTTCTGCCTTTCAAGTACTGGCTGTCGAAGCCAATGCCTCAGTGCACACTGCTAATGTCTCAGGAAGGTGCCTACTGCTGGGGGCAGCCTTTGAAGCTGGGCTGGGGTTTGTATGGGTGACTAACCAGTGCTCTTTAATCTGGGCCTCTTCTCCCTGCAATGGGATCAGTTCTGAAATACACCATGCACCAAACTCCACTTCCCGGTGTGCTCTTGTAACAGGGGTGAGCATGTGAGTGCAGCTGTGCTGCCCAGCTCACATGGTGTGTGTGTGTCTGTGTGTGTTTGTGTTGGGGACATGAGCAACAATCTACCTGTCCCTTACCCCATACTGCTCTACCTTCTTCAACACTCAGCCAGTGCGCAACATGCAGGGTACTCTGGAACAGTGGTTCTCAAACTTATTTGATCACGCCCCCTTCTTTGTGTTCGCCCCTACACAAGTACATACACTAACAAAGAACATCCACATTCAGCTCTCACGAAATATGAAAACCACTAAGGCACTGATTCAAACAGAGCCATTTAAGTATACAGGAAAGTGAGATGCTGCTTACGGGCATTGATCACTGTTGCTAGTAGTGTGATGGGTGCTCCTGATTTTTGGAGCAGAGCAATTCCACAAATAATCCAGCGATCCATTGTAATAGGAGCAAAAGCAAAACTCTGATTGTGGTCGATGCTGGGGTGACCAGATGTCCTGATTTTATAGGGACAGTCCCAATATTGGGGGCTTTTTCTGATATAGGCGCCTATTACCCACATCCCCTATCCCGATTTTTCACACTTGCTATCTAGTTACCCTAGTCGATGCTTACAATTACATGTGCACACTGTGCCATAACAAACGGATTAATGTACAGATAGCAATGACTTTGTATAATGCTATGCACGCTTAACAGAAATCCATCAAAATGCACAGCGCCACCGGAGGACATGGTATATCTGGAGGAATCAGCTTTGCTAGTTATTCATTGCTGTGGGTAAAATGCGTGCAGTACGGTTTTTTTCCTATGCGTGCCCCCCCACCCCCAAGAATACATTGGGTGCATTTGAGAACCTCTGCTCTGGCACACGCTGGAACGACCAGGGCGATTGCCTCTCGGCTTAAGGCATGTAAATGTGTTTGAGTCAGACTGTGATTTCCTGAGACAAGGCTCAAATAATCCCAAAGGGGTGGGGACACTGACCAGCCTGCACCAGATTCGGAGTTACTCTCTGTCGGTGACATAGCGATATACTGTACTACCCGCCTTCAGCCGTTAGTATTTTGTATTTATGTTGTGGAGTCCCTAGCGACCCCCAGGCCTGAACCAGGACCCCATTGTGCTAGCGCTGTACAAACACAGCACAAAGAGACAGTCCCGGCTTCAAAGAGCTGGCAACCTAAGGACAAGACGAGACAGACAGACAGATGGGGAGAACAAGGACACAGTGAGACGGATTGGTCACCACGATAGCCCGTGGTCTCAGATAGCCCGTGGTCTCAGCGCGCCAGAGCCTGACAGTTGTCAATACCTTCCGTCCCCAAGGACCTCCAAGTGCTTACCACGCAGAAGTGCACGTCAGCACCCCAGCACAGCAGTGTGGGCCGAGAACTGCTTACAGTAGAACCTGCAGGGGGCTTGGAGAGGCCGAGCAGGAATTTTCTGGGTCTGAGTGGCTAGTTTAACAACCAGTCAACCCCCCTTTCCGTTTGTAGAGATCAATGTCTGAGGGGTTCTTGCTGTGCCACATCTTTCTAGAGATCAGTTCATGGAGCTCCAGTGCTACCCGACCCACAGTCACACGGACCCCTTCCCACCATGCTGACCCACCTCTGCCCCTGTTGGTGCTCACATAATGTCCCTGCCCTGTGGAGATGTGAGAGCTGGGACAAGTTTCGTATAGTTCTCATTGCCTCTGTGCTGGTCAGTGTAGCCAGTTAGTTCATTCTATCATCCACATATCATTGTATTAAGTGATGTTATGGTCAGTTCATATACAATCAGTGTTAAATAGATTGACATTGTAGGATTATAGATGTATAGCATTGACAAGTATTTAGCAGTGATGAGTGTGTATTAGGTGGATAAAGAAAGCAAGGCTGAAATGCATGGCCTACAGGCTGAGACCTGTAAGATGTCAGCTTAGTCATAGGCATCAGAATACGTAACATGAGTGAGTGACCTAGGGATAGCCCTATGCCCATAAAGTCATAAGGTTACTGTAAAGATGGGCCAATAGGTGATTGCAACAGACCACAACGTATTGTCTGAGACCACAAGACACCTGATTGTAACATCAAGGAAAGTCTGTGTTGACCATATGGTATACTTGGTGCATAGATGCTAATGAGAATAAGAGGAACTATAAACAACCTATAAAACAGGGCACCCTAATGTTCCTGGGGTATAGAAGTACAGATTAGGAAAAGAGGGCTGACACCTTCATGCATATGCATAAGGCATTAGGCATAGGTAGAATTGCAATGTATAAAGGGTTCCTTGGTTGGGTAAAAATGGGAATATTCACAGGCAAACCCCAGCAGTAGCTCACCCCCTACTGATGATCAGTTGGTGAGAGGTAGCATCGTTCCCACGAATGTCATTGAGGACACGAGGATGACTGCAGGTATAATTACTGCATAGGTTTGTGGAGGGTTTCTATAGGCTTGAGTAATTGTAACTTTGTTTAGTGCTTTAATAAAACTTTGTGCTGGTGATTGTCTCTGCGGTTGGTATCCTTGGACTTTGCGTGTCCCTAGAGCCTCCCCTTTTGAGAAAAGCACCAGAGGCAATTTTGCTATGTTGAGCTTGAAACTGTTGTGGCTAGAGCCAAACCCACGGTGGTATAAGACAACATCACTACATTCACTTTAAATGAAAGGGTACATTAGCCACTGGTCAAAGCCAGCTGCGTGGGGCAAAAGACCAGCAAATGCTCCAGGGACACATAGTGATCATTGGATGGCAGTTTGGAAAGCAGCGGGGTGGGGTGTGGATATGGACTAGCCCTGGAAGGGTATGCGTGCTCTGTGGTCCTGCCCTGTGGGCTAGTACCCCAATTTATGAGTGACTTGCTTACATCTTTGCCTAGGTACTTTTTTTCTCTGAAGATTTGCAATAAAAGTGGATGATGAATGTAACATCCCATCTCCCCCAAAAAGGTGTCACCGTGTCGTTAGTGCAACCAGGAGTTGGCATTGCAGCCAGCCAGGGTACGGAGGAGGGGGCTGTCTTTCTTGAGCTTCCAACACAGGATACTGGTGTAGTGGTGGTGTTGGTCCCAGCTGGTATGGCATACAGTCACTCTTCGCTTAACGTTGTAGTTATGTTCCTGAAAAATGTGACTTTAAGCGAAACAATGTTAAGTGAGTCCAATTTCCCCATAAGAATTAATGTAAATGGCGGGGTTAGGTTCCAGGGAAATTTTTTTCACCAGACAAAAAAATTGTGTCTGTGTGTGTGTATATATATATATATACACACACACACACAGTATACATTTTAAACAAACAATTTAATACTGTACACAGTGATGATGATTGTGAAGCTTGGTTGAGGTGGTGAAGTTAAAGGGTGGAAGAGGGTGGGTGGGATATTTCCCAGGGAATGCCTTACTGCTAAATGATGAACTAGCTTTTGGCTGAGCCCTCAAGCATTAACACATTGTTGTTAATGTAGCCTCACACTCTACAAGGCAGCACGAACGGAGGGAGGGGAGACAGACGCACACCCTGTGTGTGGGAGAGAGAGAGAGATGCACGTTGCCCCTTTAAGTACCCTGACCCCACTCTTAAGTACATTGTCTTTTTAAGTCGATCAGGAAGTGGAGACAGCAGCTGCTGCCCCAAGCTCTCTCTGTCTCTCTCTGTCTGTGTCCCCACCCTGCTGTATATGGAGAAGGGGTAAGCGGGGTGCAGGAGCAGAGGGACACGCTGACATTAGTCCCACCCCTTTCCCCCCTCTGCACAGCAAGCAGGAGGCTCCCGGGAGCAGCTCCAAGGCAGAGGGCAGGAGCGGCACATAGCGGTGGGGGAGGGACAGCTGAACTGCCGGCAATTGATAGCCTGCTGGGCAGCTGCTGCACAGGGAACTTAGGGGAGCAGGGAGCTGATAGTGGGGCTGCCGGTCCACCCTGGTTCCAAGCCCCCACCAGCTAGCTCCAACGGGCTGCTCTTCCTGCAAGAAGTAGACAAAGCAGGCGGCTGCCAAAGGATGAGGTTAAAAAGGAGCATTGCACAACTTTAAACGAGCATGTTCCCTAATTGATCAGCAACGTAACAATGAAACAAGTTAACCGGGAGGACTTTAAGTGAGGAGTTACTGTATTGTGTATCAGTGTCCCTGTCGTACACTCTGTGTGTGTGTGAGAGAGAAGCAGGGAGCAGGAGACTGACAAGGAGAGCAAGACCCTTGTGGGCTAGAATGTGCGTGCTTCTTTTTGCACGTGTGTGTGTGTGTGTTTGTATTTATACATGCATGTGTGGGTGTGCCTGTGTGTGCGAGTGTACGAGAACCTTCCTTTGCCCTCCGCCCCCGCGCCGGCAATTGGGTGCTGCTTGGTGGGAGGGCGCAGGCAGGTGGTGCAGGGGGTTCACTGGCCTTTCCCTTGCCTCCCCCAGTACGAGTTTAAAGCCAAGAACATCAAGAAGAAGAAAGTGAGTCTCCTGGTGTCAGTGGACGGGGTGAAGGTCCTGCTGAAAAAGAAGAAGAAGGTAAGAAGCTCCTTCCCCCCCACCCCCCAAGCCAGTGGTGCCTGTGTGGTGGGGTCCCCTCCACCTGCGGGGACATGTCTGGGCCCCTTAGTGTGAGTGATGGGACTATGGCTGTTGTAGGCTCTCGAGTACGTCCTGCCAACTGGCCTCTTGGGAAGAGGGGTGGGGGAGTTGCCCCTGCAGCCCAGTGCAGAGTTTTGGCTAGCTGTGCACCTGGCGTGGAAAGGGCCTGTCTGTTTACTGAGGCTTTGCAGGGAACAAGCCCTTTGGCTGCAGGGGGCCTAGAGGGACTGCAGGGATTGACCAGGCCCAGCCTGCAGCAGACACACTACTTGCCTCAGGCTGCAGCTAGTTCTCTGTGGGAAGCGAGTGGTCACTGCCCTGGTACCAGGCCCAGAGGGAGGGGGAATTCATACCCAACTCCTCTCTTTTCTGCCGGGGCAGCCTGTGGGGCTGTGGATGAGGGAGCTGCATTGTCATGAGCAGAAAGCGGTGCGGGGGAGGGAGCGAGCCTCAGCCCCCAGGGTTACACTGGTATCTCCCCAAGAGCACCCGGGTTAGTATGGGCCAGCCCTGGCCTGGGGGGGACACACCTTTCGCATCGCCCCATTGGCTGAGCCCGGGAAGTACCAGTGTCTGAGCAGCACCGTCTGGGAGTGGTGGCTAGTCAGCTGTGGCCGGCCAGGCAGGAGTGAGGGACATGGTCTGCCGCTGACCCCTGCGAGGCCTCACTTTGCTGCCTAGCCCAATGTCACCATGGGCACCAAGGCAGAGTGCCCATGCAAACCCTGCCCCCTCCCCCCCCCCAGCTGGCTGCATTGTACCCTGCAGTGCCCAGGTGAGAGTGGGGATCCAAGGGCTGAGTAGTGTGGGGGGTCCAGCCCAAATAGCAGGATTCACCTTCTGCCATGGCTACACTAGTGTGAAGGGGCAGGAAATAGCCCCTGTGTGGCTGGAGAGTAAGTGCTGGCTCTGCCCTCGGGCAGAAAGTGTCCTGGTGGGCGGGTGTGCTGGTGGGAGGAGCTGAGGCAGTCCAGCGCTGCAGCGGCTCAGACAGGGCCCTGGCCCTGGTAGCCCCTGGCTAGCAGTGGTGTAAGCTGCCTCCCCTCTGTTCCAGTCCTGGAGTGAGTGAGGCTCAGGGAGCAAAGAGAGTGGGTTTGCACTGGGGAGCCCACAGTGGGCCAGCTGTGTCCCTCCTCCCCAGAGCAGGGCTGGCCATGCACACTGGAAGGGAGCAGTGCTCCACTTTGGCCCAAGCAAGCTGGCCCATTGCATGCTGGGAACAGCACCTTGGTAGTAACAATGAAGGTGCTGACAACCTGCGTCTGTGGATCGGCCAGGACTAGGGGGCCCTGGCCAAAGTGGACCCCACAGAGGAGGCCAATAAGCCACAACCAGTGAGACCTGTGGGACGTGGCCTGCGTGCCGCAGGACGGTATGAAATATGTCCCAGTGAGCTGTACAGGGTTGGGGAACGGTCTCCACAAGGGAAGTGATGGAGGCAAAATATAAACATGATCATCAATACCTTTTAATGGTCCATGGCTCATGGGTAGTGCCCTACCGAATTCACAGCCAAGAAAAACCCATCACAGAACGAGAAATCTGGTCTCCCCCCATGAAATCTAGTCTTTTACCCTATACTATACAGATTTCACCAGTGTTTCTCAAACTGAGGGTCTTGACCCAAAAGGAAATTGCAAGGGGGTTGCAAAGTTATTTTAGGGGGGTCGTGGTATCGCCACCCTTATTTCTGCACTGCTGCCTTCAGAGCAGGGCGGCCGGAGAGTGGTGGCTGCTGACTGAAGGCCCAGCTCTGCAGGCAGCAGCGCAGAGGTAAAGGTGGCAACACCATACCATGCCATCCTTACTTCTGTGCTGCTGCTAACGGGCCTCTGCCTTCAGAGCTGGGCTCCTGGTCAGCAGCCGCTGCTCTCCAGCTGCCCGTCTCTGAAGGCAGCGCCGCCACCAGCAGCGCCGAAGTAAGGGTAGCAGTACCGCAACCCCTCCTCCAATAACCTTTTGACACCCCACATGCTCTTTTTGGGTTAGGACCCCTACAATTACAACACCATGAAATTTCAGATTTAAATAGCTGAAATCATGAAATATAATTTTTTAAAAATCTTATGACCATGAAATTGACCAAAATGGACCGTGAATTTGGTACGGTCTGTAACGATGCTGCCTCTGGTGGGACACAACTGAGAGCATTAATTCAGGACAAATTGCTTAGGGCAGGGCAGTTACAGCCCAAGGTTGGATTTCCTTTACTATCAAGGCACACCAAATCAGCCAAACAGAGATGACCCTGGTTTTACCTTACTGGCTAACCAGAAGTCATACAATTAATTCCCTCGGACACTCCAGTTTCCCAGTATCACCACCAGCAGCCACTTCTTATGGGGACGAATGGTTATGAAAGCCAATACCCCAGTAAAAGAAAAAAGGTTCTCCCGATCCCAAAGGACCAAGCCCCAGACCCAGGTCAATATACAAGTCAGATCTTACCCACAAATCATGCTGTTGCCAATCCTTTTGAATCTAAAACCTAAAGGTTTATTCATAAAAAGAAAGAAATATAGATGAGAGTTAAAATTGGTTAAATGGAATCAATTACATATAAAAGGAGTACTTGCGGCACCTTAGAGACTAACCAATTTATTTGAGCATAAGCTTTTTGCGAATACAGACTAACACGGCTGCTACTCTGAAACCTGTCAATTACATACAGTGATGGCAAAGTTCTTGATTGAGGCTTGTAGCAGTGATGGAATAAACTGCAGGTTCAAATCAAGTCTCTGGAGTACATCCAAGGCTTTGATGGGTCATTCAGTCCTTTGTTCAAGTTTTAGTGTAGCAAAGTTCCTCCAGAGGTAAGAAGCAGGATTGAAGACAAAATGGAGGGATTTCCAGGGCCTTTTATATTCTTTCTCTTGTGGGCGGAAACCCCTTGGTTCTCCTGTGCAAAGTCACAGCAACAAGATGGAGTTTGTAGCCACCTGGGCAAGTCATATGTCCATGCATGACTCAGTTTGCAGGTGGCAGCCATTGCTCACATGCTACCTTGAACGTCCCAGGAAGACTTCTCATATGTGGATTGGAGTCTCCCAAGGTCCATTGTCAGTTAAGTGTTTCTTGACTGGGTACTTAATCTTCAAATTCCTTTCTCAAGAAGCTGACCAAATGCTTCACTAATGCTACTTAGAATCAAACACATTGAAATACAGGTACATGGCCAGTATTTATAACTTCAATTACAAAAATGATACACACATACAGATCGCATAATCATAACCAGCAAATCATGACCTTTTCATAGACATCTCACACGACAACCTTTGTACAATATTTACTACAAATATATAACAGTGGTTGCAACAATGATCTGTATGGTTACAGTTCATGTCAATAACGTCACAGGGCCCTACTCATTGGTCCATTTCAGGAGCAAGAAACAGGAGCAGCTGAGGGAGAGAATTAGCCTGAGGTGCCATGGACATGATTATTTAATTAACACTTGTTAATGAGGATAAAAGTAGGCTCCGTTCACATAGCAACCCTGAGACATTCATACAGCAACATTGGGAAGGGGCAGAAGAGAGAATTTTTCAAACAGAGGTGGGCTAGTTCCAACGGGAAATAATTGCAGTGTCCCAGCAGCACCCAATACGGAGCTGCCTGAGCATCCACGCGCCCAATGCAGGCCCCCAGAGGAAGGGGAATGCATCATCAGTGTCATAGCAAACACCATCATGGCCTTGGCATCAACCGTCATGGACCACCTGCTTCCTTGGGCAAAGAGAGGACATGGCTGGGACTGGGTGTGTGTGAGGGTGACGGGGACATGGCTGGGACTGGGGTATGTGTGAGGGTGACTGGGGGACAGGGCTGGGACTGGGGTATGTGTGAGGGTGACTGGGGGACAGGGCTGGGACTGGGGTATGTGTGAGGGTGACGAGGGGACACAGCTGGGACTGGGGGTGTGTGGGGGGACTGGGGGACATGGCTGGGACTGGGTGACCCCTTGGAAGGGGAGGGGACACAGCTGGGACTGGGGGGGGCAGCCATGGGTGAGGAGCAGAATCCCACCCCATGCCACACAGCCCCCCAGCCCCAGGCTGTGCCCCTGTCAGGGTTCCCTTCCCACTCTGAACTCTGGGGTACAGATGTGGGGACCCACATGAAAGACCCCCTAAGCTTATATTCTACCAGCTTAAGTTAAAAACTTCCCCAAGGCACAAATTCCTTTCCTTGTCCTTGGATGGTATTGCTGCCACCACTAAGTGATTTATACAAAAATTCAGGAAAGGGTCACTTGGAGTCCCTATTCCCTCAAAATATTCCCCCAAGCCACTTCACGCCCCTTCCTGGGGAGGCTTGAGAATAATATACTAACCACTTGGTTACAATGTGAGCACAGACCAAACCCTTTGGTTTTTAGGACACTGAAAATTAATCAGGTTTCAGAGTAGCAGCCGTGTTAGTCTGTATCCGCAAAAAGAAAATGAGTACTTGTGGCACCTTAGAGACTAACGAATTTATTTGAGCATAAGCTTTCGCTACAGCTCACGAAAGCTTATGCTCAAATAAATTCGTTAGTCTCTAAGGTGCCACAAGTACTCATTTTCTTTTTGCGGATACAGACTAACACGGCTGCTACTCTGAAACCTGATTAATTTTCAGTGTCCTAAAAACCAAAGGGTTTGGTCTGTGCTCACATTGTAACCAAGTGGTTAGTATATTAATCAGATTTTTAAAAGAAGAATTTTATTATAAAGAAAAAACTAAAAGAATCACACCTGCAAAATCAGGATGGAAGGTAACTTTACAGGGTAATAAAAAGATTTAAAACACAAAGGACTCCCCTCTGGACTCAGCTTCACAGTTACAAAACAGGAATAAAACTCCCTCTTAGCATAGGGGAAATTCACAAGCTAAAACAAAAGATAACCTAACTCATTTTCTTGCCTCACTTACAATTTCTGTAATTCTTAGAT